CTGGCCAGCCTGGATGAGGGATGATGGCTGTTTGCAGCTGGTCACACCCCCTTCAGGGTGGGGGTCCCCACTGGGGTGCCTGGCCAGTCTGGGTGAGGGGCTGAGGGCCGTTTTCAGGCTGGCGGGTGACTGAAGCTCTCAACCTCTCCTTTTTTTCTTTTTCTTTTTCTTTTTTTTTTATTCTGGGATTTATTTACCTTCTATGGCTGACACTGGAACTGAGAGCTGGCTTTAGCTCTGAGTTTCGGCTCCAGCTCTGAGACCTCGGCTCTGAAAGCAGGTATCTGGGTTTGTTTGGCTTCTATAATTGAAACACTGTTGCAGCTCCAGCTCTGAGGCCTCCCTGGCTGAAAGCAGGAATCTGGGGTTTGTTTAGCTTCTATAATTGCAACATTGTTTCTTAGAGTGCAGCTCAGAGGCCGGCAGTGGCAGGCGGGGAACCTTGGCTTCCTCCATCACTGGAGCAAGCAAGCCTCCTGTTCACTTCTGCTTGCCTGGCTGCCAGCCGCCATCTTGGTTGGCAGTTAATTTGCATATCACCCTGATTAGCCAATGGGAAGTGTGTCGGAGCTACGGTTAATTACCATGTTTGTCTATTATTAGATAGGATATTTAAATGCCATTTAACAAGGAAAAATCAACCAAAAAAATGAGTCTGTGTGTCACCTCTGACACGCGTGTCATAGGTTCGCCATCACTGGGCTAAAGCCTGTGGAAAAAGTAACATCTTTTGAATCTCAATTTCTGCCAGGAAGTTGAAATGTTACCATCTTAAAATGAGATATCCTTGTACTGAATTTTGTTATACTTTGAAGAGAAGAATGACGAACATGCAAGGTTTGCAGGTATCTTATCGTTTTAGGCAACTTACTATTTTGTTAACTCAGCTACTGACTTTCCTAAAGGGAAAAGCCCCCCACTCTTTGTGCCACTGCCTCCTCCCCCATTTTTTATTCAGTGTGATAATATCTGGTGGTCAATTTCTATCTTCTTTTGCCTTCCTAACAGTAAAGAAGAGTCTCAAATTACTTGACCCTTTGCTTCAATTGCCTGCCCCTAATTTAGTTTTCCTTCTCATTCTCACCACTGTTGAAACAAGTTCAGATTGACACACTGTTACGATAACTGAATGTGCTTAGTATGGGTTTATTGAAGAATAGGGTAGAAATTTGTGCTATAACATAGCATTATTAGCATTTTTCAAACATGTAAATTTTTGGCAAAATAGTGCTTTACAAGTAATAAAGTATTATATAAATATACTAGAGGACCAGCGCATGAAATATGTACACGGGTAGCGTCCCTAGCCTGGCCGGTGATGAGGGCCGACTGGGGCCTTCCGGCTGCCGGCTGGAGCCTCCCTTCCCCAGCTGCCAGCTGGAGCCTCCCTTCCCTGGGTGCCGGCTGCCAGCTGCCAGTCGGGGCCTGCCTTCCTTCTGCACCACCCCCTGGTGGTCAGCACACATCATAGTGAGCAATCGAACTCCCAGTCTCCCAGTTGAACTCCCAAGGGGACACTTTGCATATTAGCTTTTTATACATATAGATTGGTCCAGGGAATTTTTTTTTTTTTTGGGGGGGGGGGTGTCAGGCTAGTATATTACTGGGAAAGCGTCCTACTTAAAAAAATAAAAATCTGGGAATAAATTTTTGTTCTAAATCTCCTTTTCATTTATTTAACTTTCACCCCTGATTATAAATGTGAAAAATATTGACTGTGGAAAATTTGTAAGAAACTGGAAAATACTTTTTTAAAAGGAGAAATATATAACAAAATTATGCCCACATATACAACTGCCAATTGAATTATTTCCAGGAGAGGCACCTGTAGGTAGGTATGGCCAAACCGAATAGCCCCCATGCCATGCTAGAACTACTATTCACAAAATCACCCAAGATAAAAACCTGGAAATTATCCTTGATTCTTTTCCCCATACCCTGTGTCAAACTAACTATCAAATGTTTCTTCTTATTCTTTAGTTAGCAATATTTATTGTGTGCCTCTCCTCATGGAGTAGTGATGCTGAACTACTTACCTTTGCTTCCTATGCTGTTTTTTTTTCCAATGATGCCACCATGTTGAGCCTGGACTGATGTTTCTAAAATGTGCATTTGATCTTTCAATGGATTCCCAGAGCTGTCAAAGTAAAGTTTACATTCTTTAGTTTGGCCACAAGAACTTTCATAAGAACATTTGTCAGCCTCATTTTATTCCATTCCCCATCTCTGGCATCTTAAGCCCCAAACAACTTGCAGTTCCACAAATATGTCATGTTCTTATTTGCAGTGCCCTCCATTTTCTTTTTTATTTTAATAGTAATGTCTGTTTGTCTAATTTAGCTCACATCTGAGTAAGTTCAGAAGGTATTCCTGACCTCAAAGTCTCTCTTCTAGTTTCACATAGCCTATGAAGCATATTTCAATCATAACATGTATCATATTTATCATACACGGTGTATTGCTTTACTTGTTTCTCTGTCCCTAAAACATATACAGCCATGAGGGCAGGTACTATTACAGGCATTTAATAGGTACTTAATAAATGTTTATTAGATAGATAAATGGTATTTCTTTGGAGTTTGCTTCTTGTTATGATTTGGATTAACATTTGTTTGCATACCAAATAAAGGGAACATTGGTATAGATTATTAAAATGACCTTTCCCCTGTTAATATGAATGAAAGTTGTAGAAGCAGAAGTTCTAGGATTTAAGTAAGTTATGAATAGGTAAAACTAGGATAGGAAGGAAAACTTAGTGAAGTGAATGGAAAGAAGAAATTACTTTGGATTAGTTAATGAGGAAATGGTTATTGTTTTTAGATATTACTGAAAGTAATCAGTTTAGGAAATACTCTAAACATCCCCCAAAATTAAAATGTAAATAATTTAGTCATGTAATAGAGTCATCTTAATAGTATTTAAATAAATGCCCACATTGTACCTAAAACTATAGAACAGTATTAATGATCTGAATGTAAGGACCAAGTCTAATGTTTCTTCAGTATTCCCTATAATGCTCATTATATAATATGTTTAAATAAATTACTGATTTCTACTTTCATTGAGATTACAACTAAGAATATAAAATAATAAAAATGTGTAATAAACTGAAAATCTTTGGGCATTATTTTTAAATGTTTTAACTAAGTAATTGTACATTTGGGGATATAATGTAAATGATACTAACATATGTGATAAAATGTGGATATTCAAAGAATACCTCAGGATATTTATGAGAATTAATTCTGATAACATATGTAAAGTCCTTCCTACTGCTCAATAAATATTAGATGTTATTATTAACATTTTTTCATATTTTCAATGTTAAAGACAAACCATTTGCAAATTTTTTAAAATACATAACTAGTAATGAGTGAAAATAAATCAGTATGTGCTGGTAATCACTTAACACTGATCTTTGACTCTATTATATTTTCCTAAAAATTACAATGCAATAGAGTCACCTTAATAGTATTTAAATAAATGCCCACATTGTACCTAAATGTGGTAGGGACAATGACGAGTAGTTGGAGGTAGGGGATGAATGAATTCTACCTACTGAGAAATTTGCTAGGCTGGTTTGAGTCAGAGTGGAGTTTAAAACTATTGGCAGAATAAAATGGAAGAGGAGTCTGACTATTCATCTCTTATTCAAATTCAAATGAAGAGTTTAGTTGGTATTGTGTTTACTCCTTATTTTCTGTGGTTTACTTTTACTATCTCAAGCAATTTTATTCATGCAAAAATATGTTTTCATTCCAACAGGGAAATAACTTTGTCAACTTTTCACATGTATTTAGCTCAGAGATCTAAAAAATAACACGTTTCTGACCATCTAATATCTAGTAGTTATTTATTGTCTGTTTCAATATTAATTTCTATCTTTACAGAAGGTAAATTCCACAAGGACAATACCATATCTGCTTTTTTTCATCCTTGTGTATCAAGCATAGTACTTGACACAGCGTGGTAAATAAATATTTGTCGAACAACTACCAAATGGGATGAAGAGCAACCTATTACACTGTGTATTGTGTTACTTGGGTCAAATAAAATTTATAACGTACAGTTAGATTTACAATGGTAATAACATTTTTAATGCTGAATTTACAACTTTTTTCTATTTCTAATTATTTTCTTTCTTTCCCATTTGAATGATCTGGATCGGTTTGGTTTGTCCTAATTACCTAAATTATTCCCAGGTTTTAACTTTGGAAACAGCAAGAATTAATTAGAATACTCTAGTGGGCACTTTTTCACCCAATGAGTTATAATCTCATATACAGAGAATTGTCTGTGTAATTCATGTAAAAATTTTATTCACATAAAATATGAATTTTTATTTTAAGATTTTTCTACCTATCCCTGTCTTTTTTGTTCTGTCTCTTATTGGATAAATTATAAGGTTCCCTAAAACAAATACTCAAGAGTTCCCTTAAAAGACAAATTCCTTAGAAAAAGGAATAGAAAATAGTAGCTATTGCCTTTCTCTTATTTTGTGCTGATTTTTAAACCCTAGAACATGAATAAGTGCTTATTATGTTCATTATTCATGTAGATGTAATCTAAAAATCTTTAGTTTAAATTTGTAATATTATAAATAATATTATATGTATATACATATGTTTTTTTGTGTTAGTAGAGGATACTTTTTATTCTGTTTTTAAAATATGCATTTAAAACACTATTTTACAAATGCAAAATGTGGTTGCTGAAAGCCATTGCCATTCTCTTGGGTTATTATCTTTGTTTTGTGTTTATTAACATAGTTCTTATATTACTAATATAAGTTTTGACAATAAACTGTTTCCTATCTTTAATGGTACAACATAACTTTAAGTTAAATGCTTCTGTTAAACTTCATCAAAATAACATTCTCTGAATGTATTCTATGATAACCAAACATCCCCTCTCTGTCTTTTTGAGTAACAGCATGCTTCTACAGCTCTTTAATTAAATGACCTTACCTTACATTTGTCTCGACTGGCTTCTGTTTACAGAAATTGTAAACCAATTGAATGCTCTGAGCAGCTTAGATGAAGATCAAGATGACTGCATAAAGCAAGCAAATATGCCTTCAGCTAAATCAGCCAGTTCCTCTGAAGGTCTAAGAGCTTTCTTCCTTTCTTTCTGCTTCTGACTGCCTTTATTTACTGTGACCTGCTACCTCTTGACTTCTGCCTATACTTAGCTGTCAGTTTTGTCTTCGTGCTTTTCCTTGGATGTTTTCTTTGGTAATTTGTAGTACACCAACAGGCAACAACATAACAGAACTTGCCATCTTTAGCAAAGCCTTATATCAAGATTCTCATTAGGTAGTCATTTTAGAACATCTTATAATAATTGGTCATGTAATATGGCCATACTTCTTCAGCTACTGTATATATTATAACTTTTACTTTTAAAAAATAGTTTTAGATTAAACCCATTTGAATTATTTATATTTAGGAATGAAGGATGTTTTACTAAAAATCTGTCAGTACTTTTTCATTAGATAAAATTAAATTCAGATGAAAGTTTCTCTAGTTTATTATCTGATACAATTTTCAAATTAATATGTATATATTTTATTTCATATGAAAATGTTGGTATACTACAAAATACTTGAATGGCATTCTGCCACTGGTAAAATGCTATGTCTTATTATTTACAGGTATTATTAGTGTGAATTTTTGTAATTCAAAAATTTCATGAATGATCGAAATTATGCTTTACTGTAACCATAGTGAACTAACACATATGTTTATTTTCAGAGCTTATCAACAAACTTAACTTTTTGGATGAAGCAGAAAAGGATTTGGCCACTGTGAATTTAAATCCATTTGGTGATCCTGATGTAACAGGATTAAATCCATTTGAAGATCCTGACTCAGAAGGTAACAAGTTTTTTTTCTGTACTTTTAGAGTCTTTATATAGTCAAATTCTCTTGAATGGTAATGGCAGGAAGACTCATAAAGTAATTTTTGTCCCTAATGATAATGTTATTGTGTTCAGTACCACTTGCAGTTGATCGGCAATGCTGGGTAGCTTCAATTGAATTTTTTTTAAAAAAGAAAGTCTTACATAGACATGTACTTGGGGAATTTATTTATTTCTAATTTTTAAAATATATTTTTATTGGTTTCTAAGAGAGGAAAGGAAGAGAGAGAGAGAGAGAGAGAGAGAGAGAGAGAGAGAGAGAGAGAGAATGAATGAATCATTGATCGGCTGCTTCCTACACGCCCCCTACTGGGGACTGAGCTCCCAACCTTACATGTGCCCTGGCTTCCTGGTTTATGAGTCAGTGCTCATCCACTGAGCCACACCTGCTGGGGGAAAGGGGCTTATTTTTAAATGTCTGTTAATTTGATCAAATAGTAAAGCTCTGTTGTTAGAGATAACATTGTTCTGTCTCTTACTGGAAAAATTATAAGGTTTCCTAAAGCAGATACTCAAGAGTTCCCTTAAAAGACAAATTTCTTATAAACAGGAGTAGAAAATAGGAGTAGCTATTGCCTGTTTTTCTTATTTTGTGCTGATTTTTAAAATTCTAGAATATGAACAAGTATTTTATCTAGCTGGCATATGGTAAAGTTTCGTTAATTTAGCAGCCTGACCAAGTAAGGTCAAGTTGTGGCACATACTGATATTGATGTGGTGGGGTGGCTTCTCCCTCTAGACAGCTCCTCCACCCTCATTCGCAGAGAGTTTGAGGAATCCCTCTACCTCCTACTCCATGTCTCTGGCTGAGAATTAGTCAGTGGTTACAGTAAGTTGTGCATGTGAATAAAGGAGCAGAAAGAAGACTGAAACCACTGTTGTCGTACGTACAGCATAATTGGGAGAAATAAACCCAGGTATTTTTTCTGGGTCATTTTTCTTATCAAGTAGTTTTGATCTCTTAAAGCCTAGAAAAGAGCTGTTGAAGCAGTGAGACTTCTGTTTAATTAAACTCTGTTTTCTCAAAGTAAATGTAAGAATGACTAATCACTGTTTACATCTTTTAGACTGCTCTTAGGAAATCTTCCTGAGCTGTAAAGAATTTTGCTGCCACTAGTCATGGTGAAAATGAGGTTTTAACTTCAGGATTCACTCCGTTAGAGCAATATTATTTAATAATCCACTTTTTCTTTTCCTTTACTTTCTCCCTTCTTATCAGATTCTAAACTAGTAAGTTTAAATTAATTGTATTTTATTTTGTGAGCTAGTTATATTAAGAACATGTTTTAAATCTTAAAAGTTACAATAAATCTTAGAGGTGATCTATTTCAGCTGCGTACTTTCATAGATTAGGAAGCTGAGGCCCGGGGGAATTAAGTGATTTGAACAAGAACTCTAGGTAAATGGAGATGGAGTTAGAGCTAAGATTCCTAATCAGGAGTCTTCTTTCGACTATACAGCTTCTCCTTGATTATTATATACATCTGAGTATATCGAGTTTTAAAAATATTAACAAGATATTTTGAGACATCAGTATTTGAGCTTTCCATTTCAAAATAGAATAAGTTTTCTAAATATATGTACGCCTATTTTCTGAGGAATAGAAAGGAATAGCAGATATCATGTGATACCATATTTCTATATAGGAGAGGTTAGCCAGCCTGACTCAGAATCTTTACTCATGTTGATAGAGCTAAGAAAAAAGGTGACAACTAGTATTTCTCTTTAAATATACATCTCTTTCTGGAATTAATTTTATGGATTAAAAACTTGCTACTTGCAGTAAAAAAAAAAGTATTTGGGGAAGATAAAAATGTGTTACAGTTGTCAAGATGGTGTATTATTATTTGCATTTACAGCTTCAGTTTTCTTATATTCATGATATTCAATGCTTCAGTTCCCTAAGTGGTTTTTGCTTGTATAACTAACCAAAGACCATTTGAAAATTTAATCCATTTTATGGTCTTTTAAAAGCAGAAACTTACTATGTATCAGTTTGAGATGGCAAGCTAGTTTATGGAAATAAAATAGGCAATAATAAAATATTATTCCTTTAAGGAAGTTAAAATTTCCAAAATTGTCATTTATATATTATTAGAGACTTCAAAGGCATTCCAAAGATGACATTTTGGGGTTTACCATTCCTGGAAAAGTAGACAAAGATCTTAGATATTACACCTTCTGAATTTAGCCCCTCCAAAATGTGCTAGTACTTTGCCTCTTTCAGTTCCATTCGATATTGAGTATTTTTGAAAGCATTAAAAATGTGAGAAAATGTCAGATAGAATTAATTGGACTTAATTCATCTGTTGCTATTGTTTTATAGAACCAACCACTGAAACAGTATCACCTAAAAAACCAGAAGAATCTTTTTATAATAACAGCTATAATCTCTTCAAAGAGATGCAAACTCCACAGTATTTAAACCCATTTGGTGAACCAGAAACCTTTGAAACTATAAAGGATTCTCCTCCCCAATCAACAAAAAGAAAAAATATAAGACCTGTGGACATGAGCAAGTACCTCTATGCTGATAGTTCTAAAACTGAAGAAGAGGAGTTGGATGAGTAAGTACATTTCATTTTGCTATCATCATAGGTCAGGCTTTATATTAACTATAGGGATCCTCTGTAATATACCTTTAGATGGGTAAAATGAGATCTGGTGCAATGTTAACATACACTTTACAAGTTAGTATCTGTCTCATCCCCATCTGAAATTTTATAATCTTGACCATTAATCTCCCACCCTCTTCCATATGCTTGTATACGCTAAACTAACAAATGAGGGAATATGTTCTTGGAATCTCTGGTTAGAATTTCTATAGTGTCTTCCCATAAGAACTGTTATAAATAGCACTTGAGTATTTTTAATTGATTACTGTATGCATTATGCTTCAATTATGTTATGGAAACCAACTAATCATTTATGATATTGATTTGATCAGAAGGCTTATTCAAATGCCAAACAATGAGATCATAACATTTATAAATTAGGAATTTTCAATTGTGTTACTATTCTTACCCAAATGTGAGGTTGATTGACTACAAGCTCAGTATAAATAGTCAATGTGATTAGGGATACCATTTTACGCAAATGTAGGTAGGGATAAAGAGAGAAGTGAATTTTCATTGTGTTCTGAGGTTATACAGTGTATTGCTTGTGTGACTATAGACCGTTGCCCTGAGTTTGTTAAAAAGCAACAAGCAAAACTTCTACTTGCAGCCATGTTAAAAAGAAGCTCTTCAGGCAGGAGGAAAATGACACTACTTAGAGATTTGGATCTACACAAGGAGATGGAGAGCACAAGAAATGGCTAATATAGTATTATATATAAAACTAGAGGCCCGGTGCACAAAAATTTGTGCACTCGGGGGGGAGGAGGGGTCCCTCAGCCCGGCCTGTGCCCTCTCACAGTCTGGGACCCCTCGGGAGATAACGCCCTGCTGGCTTAGGCCTGCTCCCGGGTGGCAGAGGGCAGGCCCAATCCCTAGGTGCAGCCCCTGGTCGGGCTCAGAGCAGGGCCGATTGGGGAGTTGGGTCGCCACCCCGTCATGCACAGAGCAGGGCAGATTAGGAGGTTGTGATGCCACCCTCAGTCACGCTCAGGGTAGGGCCAATTGGGGGGTTGGGGCGCCGCCCCCTGTCATGCACAGAGCCGCAGGGCAATCGGGGTTTGGGCGCTGCCCCCTGTCACGCTGATCCCGGTGCTGGGAGGCATATTACCCTTTTACTATATAGGGTAGAGGCCTGGTGCATGGGTGGGGCTGGCTGGTTTGCCCTGAAGGGTGTCCTGGATCAAGGCGGGGGTCCCCACTGGGGTGCCTGGCCAGTCTGGGTGAGGGGCTGAGGGCTGTTTTCAGGCTGGGAGTGACTGAAGTTCCCAACTGCTCCTTTTTTTCTTTTTTTTTTTTTTTATTCTGGGCCAGCTTTACCTTGAGGCTTGGCTCCAGCTCTTAGGCCTCCGTGGCTGAAAGTAGGTTTCTGGCCTTAGCTTACAATGTTGTGAATCTGCTGGCTGAAGTCCAGTGGTATTTGTTACAATGTTTCTTAAACTGCTCGCTCAGAGGCCTGCAGCCACAGGTGGGAAACGTTGGTTTCCTCCAACGATCCTCCGTCACTGAGGCAAGCAAGCCTCATGTTAGTTTCAAGCTGCCTGGCTGCCGGCTGCCATCTTGGCTGACAGTTAATTTGCATATCTTGCTGATTAGCCAATGAAAAGGGTAGCGGTCGTACGCCAATTACCATGTTTCTCTTTTATTAGTGTAGATACTTATCTTTTAAAAATTTCCTTAAAATATAACTGGCTTTGAAGTTTAAATAATTTATTCTGTGTTTTTTTTATTGCTTATTTTAGAAAGAAGGAAGGAGGGAGTGGGGAAGGGAGAGAAACATCAACTCTGGAGAGTGAGTCTGCAACCTGGGCATGTGCCCTGACTGGGAATCAAACCGGCAACCTTTTGGTGCATGGGACAATGCTTAACCAACTGAGCCACACTGTCTAGGGCTATATTCTGTGTTTTATAACATGTATAGAAATTGACAATCTTAAACATTCACAGTTATCATAATTTAGCATAAAGGCTGAGAGTGGGAAATTGAAGAGTCCTGTTTTAAGCTTTGTCAACATGTTACTTGAAGATGTACTTTTCTTTATAGAGAACATCATTGTTTATGTAGAAAATCATAAGGAATCTTCAAAAAGTTTACCAGAACTAAAAAGTAAATTTGGCAATGTTACAGGATACAAGATCAACATATAAATTTAATTATATTTTTCTATAGTAACAATTATCAGAAATAGAAAAACTTTAAACACCATATACAAAAGCATAAAATAAAGCCCTCAGGGATAAATTTGAAGAAAGATGTGCAATAACCATATGTTGAAAGCAACAAAACATTGCTGAGAGCAATTAAAGAAGAGAAATCAGCCCTAGCCGGTTTAGCTGAGCGGATAGAGCATCGGACTGCGGACTGAAGGGCCCCCGGTTCGATTCTGGTCAAGGGCACATGCCTGGATTGTGGGCTCCATCCCCAGAGGGGGCGTGCAGGAGGCAGCCAATGATTCTCTCCCATCATTGATGTTTCTATCTCTCCCTTTCCCTTCCTCTCTGAAATCAATAAAATATATTTTTTTTAAAAAAGAGGAGAAATCAAATGGACAGAAATGCTATTGGACATGGACTCAAATTGATCTATACATTCTGTGCTATCCCAATCAAAGTTTTGACATACTTTTTTAAAATAATAATTAAGGTAATCCTAAAATATATATGGAAATGCAAAGGACCTAGAATAGTCAGAAAAATTTAGAAAAAGAACAAAGTTGGAGGACTTATACTACCCGATTTTAAGACTTATTAACCAAGACACTGTGGTATTGTATTCAAAGTAGAAATATAGGTGAAAGGAAGAGAATAAGAAAGTCTAGAAATAAGGCCATACATAAATATTGTCAATTGATTTTTGACAAAGCTAGCAAGGGAAACTGGTTAAGAAATGATAATCTTTACAACAGATGTTGCTAGAACAAGTAGATTTCCATTTCTTGCTCCCACTTTCCCCCCACACAAAATAACTACAACCCTTATTGCATACAGTATACAAAATTTAACTAAAAATAGGTTATACAACTAAAATTAAGAACTAAAATATTGGAACTTCTAGGAGAAAGCATAGGAGAAAAATCTTATTGACTTTGAGTTAGGTAAAATGTTTTAAATAGGATTCAAAAAGCACAAAAAAATCAGAGGAAAAATTGTTAATTTAGACACTATCAAAATTAAAAACTTACGCTCTTTTTTTTTTTTTTTTTAAAAAAGCAGGAAAATGAAAAGGCATGTCATGGTTTGGCAGAAATTCTTTGTAAAACAAAAGACTTCTATGAAGAATATGTGAAGAATTGTTTTAGCCCAATAATAAGATAAACTTTTTTTAAATAGGGGAAAGGTTTGAACAGAAATTTCACAAAAGAAAATATAAGAATGCCAATGTATATACAGAAAGATGCTCAACACCTTAGTCATCAAGGAAATGCAAATTAAAACCAAATAAAACACCACAACACACCCACTTGAATTGCTAAAATTTAAGAGACTGACTTTGTCAAATAGTGTCAAGGATGTGGAGTCACTGGAACTCTCTCAAAGAACTCTGAGTTCTAAATGATAGAACCATTTTATTTTATTTTTAATTAAATTTATTGGGGCTAACAATCTATATATATAAAAAGCCAGTGTCTGTGACGACCAAACGACCAGTCACCATGAGGTGCCATTGACCACCTCTCAGTCCCTCCCCACGGGCCCGCAAGCGGGGCGAGGTGGGACTGGGGACTGGCGAGTGGGCTGAACAGCTGACCTCTTGGTAGCTGCCCCGGTCTGTGATGGATCAGCAATGGTGAACGGGGGAATCTGGGCGGGTGGTGAGAGGACCGGGCTGGCTGTCAGGCCGTTGGGATCACCAGCTCATCCCCGGCTGCTTGGGGGCTCAGGCCTGCGGGAAAGCAGGCACCAGCGATTTCGCCTCCATGCGCATGCGCCAGGCCGGCTGCTGATGGAACACACTGCCCACTCGGGGCCTCACGCCTGGGCGGGTAGGTCACGGGCGCGCCCTGCAGCTTCCGTCAGTGCCTCAAGCCCCAGCAGCGGTGGCAGCGGCAGCTCCCATGTGACCGGCTCCGAGCGGGCAGCACATTCCTTCAGCTGCTGGCCCAGTGCATGCACATGGAAGTGAAGTTGCCGATGCCCGCTTTCCCGCAGGCCTGAGCCCCCTAGCAGACGGGGATGAGCTGGTGATCCCAACAGCTTGACAGCCCTGCAGCAGAGGTGGTGTTCGGCCTGGGGACTGGTGAACGGGCAGAAGATGGAGGCTAGGCCTAGGGACCCTACCTGCATGATTTCATGCGCTGGGCCTCTAGTGATTAATAAAATTACATAGGATTCAAGTGTACATTTCTGTAATACATCATCTGTATATTGCATTGTGTGTATACTGTCCAAAGTCAGATCTCCTTCCATCACCATATATTTGACCCCTTTTACCTTTTACTATCACCTTGCATCCCCCTTCCCTTTTGGGAACCACCATACTGTCCTCTGAGTTTTTATTTGTTTGTCTTGCTTGTTCATTTATTGTTTTCATTTTTATATTTTACCTATGAGTGAAATCATATGGTTCTTAACTTTTCCTGTCTGAATTATTTCGTTAGTATGACATTCTCAAGATCTATCCATGTTGTTGCAAATGACAGTATTTCATCTTTTCTTACGACTGGGTAGTATTCTGTTGTATGTGTGTACCATTTTTCCTTTATCCAGTCATCTATCAAAGGACATTTTAGTGTGATTTAACTATTTTAGAAAATAGTTTTAGCAGTTTCTTAAATTAAACTTATACCCATCATTTGATGCAGCCATTCCATTTCTAGGTACTAGTCACTCAAAAGGAATGAAAGTATATGTCCACAAAAAGATTTGTACATGAACATTTTAACACCTTTATTTATCACAATAGCAAAATATGGGGATAACTCAAATGTCCATCAGTAGGCAAATGGGTAAACAAATTGTGTATACCCATATAATGGAATACTTACTACTCAGTACTAAAGAAGAAGTAAATGATTTTTCTGAATTTTAATTTTTAATTACAGTTGACATTCAATATTATTTTATATTAGTTTCATGCATACAGCATAGTTAGACAGTTATATCATTAACGAAGTGATCCCCCCAATAATTCTATTACCCACTTGGCACCATACATAGTTATCACAGTACTATTGACTATATTCCTTATGTTATACTTGATATCCAATGATTATTTTGTAACTCCAATTTGTATTTGTATTTCTTAATCTCTTTACCTTATTCACCCAACTCCCTTCTCATCTGGAAACCCTCAGTTTATTATCTGTATCGATGAGTCTTGGTTTTGTTTTATTTATTTTTTTTATTCTCTAAATTCCACATATAGGTGAAATCATGGTATTTGTCTTTTTCTGTCTGACTTATTTCACTTAGCACAATACCCTCTAGGTCAGGGGTCCTCAAACTACAACCCGCGGGCCACATGCAAATACAAATATTGTATTTGTTCCCGTTTTGTTTTTTTACTTCAAAATAAGATATGTGCAGTGTGCATAGGAATTTGTTCATAGTTTTTTTTTAAACTATAGTCCGAGCCTCCAACGGTTTGAGGGACAGTGAATTGGCCCCCTGTTTAAAAAGTTTGAGGACCCCTGCTCTAGGTCCATCCACACTGTGGTAAAGGGCAAAATTTTATTCTTTTTTGTGGCCAAGTAATATTCCATTGTATATATGTAACACCACTTTTTCTATCCGTCTATTGATGGGTACTTTGCTATGATAAATACCACTGCAATGAATGTAGGTAGGGGTGATAAATTCTTTCTAATTAGTGTTTTTGGTTTCTTCGGTTATATATCCAGAAGTGGAATTGCTGGGTCAAAGGGCAGTTCCATTTTTAATTTTTTGAGCACCCTCCATACTGTTTTCCACAATGGCTGCACCAATCTGCATTCCAACCAACAGTGGACAAAGTTCTCTTTTCTCCACATCCTCACCAACACTTTGTGTATGTTGATTTATTGATGATAGCCATTCTGATGGGCATAAGGTGATATCTCATTGTGGTTTCAATTTGCATTTCTCTGATGATTAATGATGTTGAGCATCTTTTCATATGTCTATTGGCCATCTGTATGTCTTCTTTGGAGAAGTATCTTTTCAAGTCCTCTGCCCATTTTTAAATTAGAATGCTTACTTTTTTGGTGTTGAGTTATATGAGTTCTTTATGTTTTAGATATTTATCCCTTATTGGATGTATCATTGGTGAATGTCTTTTATCATTTAATATGTTGCCCTTTGTTGATGGTGTCCTTTGCTGTGCTTTGTTGATGGCAAAAACTTTTTAGTTTGATGTAGTCCCATTTATTTTTTTCCCCTTGCCTGAAGACATATATCAGGAAAAAATATTACAAAGAGAAATGTCAGGGGTTTTACTGCCTATGTTTTCTTCTAGGAGTTTTATGGTTTCAAGTCTTACATTTAAGTCTTTAAATTAATTTTGAGTTTATTTTTGTATGTTGTATCAGGGGTGGTCTAGTTTCATTTTTTTTGCATGTATCTGTCATATTTTCCCAACACCATTTATTGAACAGACTGTCTTTACCCCATTGTATATTCTTACCTCCTTTGTCATAGATTAATTGACCATATAGGCATGGGTTTATTTCTGGGCACCCTATTCTTTTTCATTGATCTATGTGTCTGTTTTATGCCAGTACCACGCTGTTTTGATTACTATGACCTTGTAGTGTAGTTTGATATCAGGTAGTGTGATCCCTCCAGCTTGTTCTTTTTTTCTCCAGATTGTGGTGGCTATTCAGAGTCTTGTAGTTCCATATAAGTTTTTGGGATTATTCTAGTTCTCTGAAAAATGCTGTTGGTATTTTGATAAGGATTGCACTGAACCTGTAGATTGCTTTATATAGGATGGACTTTTTAGTGATGTTAATTCTTCCTATCCATGAGCATATTACATGTTTCTATTTATTTGTAAGGAAGAAACAAACTATGGATATGTGTAGCTACATTGATGAATCTAAGAGGTATGAAGAACACCAGAAATGTCAAATATAATAATATATATAAAGTACTTTTCTTATGTTTTAAAATCCCTTTAAAATGTAATTGACTTTAAAGTTTAAATAATAATATATTCTGTGTTTTATAGTGTGTAGAAGTAAAATGTCCTGAAACTACATCAAATGAACAGTGATTGGGTAAAGGTACTGTTTGAATTAGAAAAGAGATGATTTAAAGTAGCTATAATAACCAAACTCAAATATTTAAAAGACTTGTTTGGTGAATGAGGTAGTTGTTTTCTATTGCTCTGGAACTGCATTTCTCAACCCTTTTCCATTTTACAACAGGTGGCTAATGACTCTCACATATGTTTTATGCTTCCATATGCATGGCTAGGTTTTGATAAAAACTTCTAATGTCCTATAAATATGTAGAATTATATCATAACTAATTTCAAAATGAGGTTGAGGTTTCAATACTAATTAATAACTATGCAGTGATTGAAAAAGTTGGCTCAACTCTTGCTAAAGTTATTATATTTGTTTTCTTTGAAATAGCTAATGTATGATCAAAATAAAATTTCTCATGGGTGGTGTAGCTGCTGAGTAATAGCCACACACCTAGAATATTTGAATGTCAATGCAAACTTTAAGTACAAGCATTCAATCGTTCCAAGATGCCTGGGTATTACCCAACACACACACCCTGCTCTCTTCTATTAACAAATTAAAGAGACATCTAATGTTTGCTTAAATTTTTAAAATGTCTTAATAAAAACTAAAATCAGAATGACTGGGTGTTTCCTTTTGACCATTCTTTTATCACATGAAAGTCACAGTCTTTACAAATTTCCCATGAATAAAGAACATTCTAAATTGCTCAATCATCTGAGGTTACCAGAGAGAGCCAATAAACACTCCTTCCTGCTTTTTTTGTAGGAATATACACACAGATTCTTAAGATTCATATGTAAAGATCTCATCAGCTAAAGTGAGAATATAGGAAGACTCTGTATTACTTTCTTCTTCAGTATTTCTCATCTTTTTCCCCCCAAGAATTTGTAGGTATAACTTCAGTAGCAGAAATATCCCAAAATTTGTTTACTACAATAATAAACTTATGTATGACCTTTCAAATCAAGTGAAAAGTCTGACTCATCTTTCCTTACCAAACTCTTTCTGTATCTGACCTAAAACTATCACAGATAAATAGTGCTGAGTCCTTTGATGTATAAATAATCTTCAGAACCTAGCATATCCATCAGCACCAAGAGAAAGTATAGACCCTTCAGTGCTTTTAGTGAATGCCCTTTACACTTAGCAACCACGTGGATTACTTAGATTCCTCATATTTGGGGGTTAGTTCAGCCATTCTAGTTTATGTGGCAAAAATGAAAATTGATAAAGCAATAATTTTTTTAAGCATTTTTGAAGTGATTTTTGTGTCCAGCATGAATCATTTCTGGTATAGTGTGTCAGTATTTCAAGAAAAATTGTCATTGAATTTTATTCAGATATGCTACACACTCATTTTAATAAATTTGGATTGTTTTTCCAATGAAACAGAAATTTTCAAAGTGACAGGAAAAGACTATAATTTTTGCTATACCCTTGCTTCATATTTTTTTTGAGGATGTTTATTAATCCTATTTCTAATAAACTTATAGTTTTTCTTATATAATTTTTTTCTGGGTGAATTATTTTCTAAACAATGAGTAATGTCATTTAAAACTATCCTGTCTAATTTTCCACCTAATATAACTGATGCATTTTTAATTCATAATGAGTTAATGATATAACTAATCTATTATGCAAGTATACAGTACAAGGATAAAAGTAATTCTTTTTATTTAGAGTGATGCAGGAAGCCCTGAAATAGATTATTCAAATCCTAGATGATCAGCAGAATGTGAAAATTATGCTAATTCCTTAAATAATTTTTTTCTTACTAAAAATATTGTTTAAATATTTGTAAATACTTTAATCAGCAGTTATGTAACTTGTTATTATAAAGAATGGAGCAGTTTCACAATCATATATATATATTATTCTTACTCACTTTTTATGGTACTTTTATTGAGATATATGTTACATAACGTAAAATTCCACATTTTAAAGTATATACTTCAGTGATTTTTAGTTTATTCACTGTGTTATGAAACCATCACAATTATGTAATTCCAGAATATTTTCATCACTACAAAAAAGGAATTCCATACCTATTAGTAATTAGTCCCAATTTCTCCCTTCCTCCATCTCCTAAAAACCACTAAACCTACTTTCTTTCCATATGGATTTGACTATTCTGGACACTTCATATAAATGTAAACATATCCTATTCATTCTTCAAGAGTAGGAAATTCAGTTTTATTCAGGAATCTCTGATTTTACAAGGAGGTTCACTCAAAATCCTTAGCAGCTTCTTGTCCTTTTTCTCATTTAGTACATAACCAGTGGTGGTGCCTAGCACACTCTTCATTAACAGGTGGGTCATAAGTGTATAGAGATACTGACTCCCTTAGTTCTCCTAATGGTCATGCATATTCCAGGGCAGGTGGAGTCCCTGGTAACTCCATTTTCCAGCAGCTTCCTATGTTTCCTCTAGCATGTCATACAGATTTTATTTTTCACTAAATGGCATAGTTAAAACAGATTGAGAAGCATGGCTCTAGTTGTTTTGAGAAAAATGTCCATTTGATTATGTTTCTAGTAATATGAGCCTCAGGAGCCAACTTTGGAAATCAGTCTATCTGAGCTTCTTTTCTACAAATAATACAAATATTCAAGTGGTTAGAGGGAGACCTACGTGGTTAGAAGCAAGCAGAGAGACATGAATAAAAAAGACAATATTTAGAAATCTTTGTGTATATACTAGATATTTTATAAAAGTTGCGTGCAACTGAGTATTGTAAATTCAGTTAGAATTGCCTATTTTAAGGAATTTTTTTCTAAACACAAATCCTTTTGTAATGTAAAAATCTATCCTCTAACACTTCTGAGTTTTTCTTAAAACTAGCCAATTTTACATAACCAATTAATAATGATACTTATTGTAGTAGCTATCATCTTACAAACTGCTATGGAAATTTGTTACAAAGAGATTTAACAGGGAATAATTTTTTAAACTATCACCCAAATAATTCACATAACTGAATTAACTGTTAGATTGAAGTGGATTTGTTCAGTTCTAAAACATCAATTGTTAAATAATAAGTTTGGAGGAGTGGAGAGTATTTTTCTTTTCTAAGTTTAGGAGTTTAAAATAAATTTTTGTTTTTATCCCATTTCTTTATATTTACCTCCCTTTGAACTACTTTTAGAGTTTGAAAAATAGCAATTTAGACTATAGATAAAATTAGTAGGACAAATAAGATTGTTGTAAGGATTAATAGGTTAATACATGTACAACACTTAAAGCAGTACCTACCATGGTGTAAGCACCTTTTAAATGTTAATAATGTTATTGGCAAGCCCTCCATTCCAGACTGGTTGTGATAACCTTTTACCTGTTTTCAGAGGAAAAGTTCAGCTTTTTAAAAACACCTAGTTATTTTAACATTATTCCTTGCTTTGATTTCCCTAAGTTCTTCAGTAGGTGGTAAATATGGGATATAAATACTTCAAGCATATCTCAGTCACTAGGCAAGAATATTTTGGTCTGAAAAGCTAATTTTCAAATATATATCTATATACCTACTTCCTATTCTTTTTCTCTTGAATGTATAGACATAAAAAGAGGAAGAAAAGGGAATAGGTTTCTATGTAGATGTCAACTCCATTCAATTAAAACCAGCTATCCTGAGCAAAGTTGAGATTATGAGGCTGTCCTCCAGCTCAGTGGGAAGGAGTCACATGATTCTAACTGCTGCTCTGAGTACAGAGTGAGAGTGACATTACAAATAGATTATATTTCCCATCTCTGATTTAGTATAGTTGGTAACCAAAGTCTCATGTGACTGTAGATATAAATACTTGAACAGGGATATAAAATTGGTTTTGGTTCTAAGTGAGTCTTTTGGTTCTAAGTGAGTGTGGTACTGTTGTAGTTCAAATAACATGCAGAATTGAAACACAGGGCTATCACCCATACAGGCCTTATATGACTTAGATGGAATTCTCTTGGTATAATCACTGTGTTTGTTTGGCCTGGTGCTTAGATTTTTAGACTCAGAAATTCTGTTGTTTCTATGCACGCAGGATATTAGACTCGAGGGGACTGACTGTTATTGAAAAAAAATTCAACAAACTAAAAAATAAGAACCAGAAAAACAGTTTATTATTGTGTAATAGAGAAACTCATCATATATACCAGATAGTTGTGTTTATGAATAACTATGAGAAAGGGAGTTAAGGAAGATTTTTTTTGCCTGGGCCTAGACTCTAGTCTAGATAGAGGTGGGGATGGGGTGTGGGCAAGGAATCTTCCCTGAGAAGTTGTAAGCCCAGGCCCAGTCTCATGTAGATTTGATATATTGACAGAATTGTCTGGGAACCTCCAAGCCAAGAAAGTAACATATAAAGTGCCTCCTAAAGTACTTGGCAATGCAAGAACATCAACACATAAAACACTCTGAAGAGAGCCACTCCCAGCTCAGATTACAAAGTATTTCCTCAAATTAAGCTCTGAACTCAAAATCTAGAATTACAAAACACACAGGGAAATAGTTGACTAAGAGAAAGAGGAGACAAAAGAAACATCAGGATTATATATGTAAGAACCTCAAATAATAAATTTATCAGATAGACACTTAAAATAAATGTTTAAATTATTAATGACTCAAAGCTCGGTACCTGAGGTATTATACACACAGTCATATGAAGAAATAAGCTTATTGAAGTTAAAAATTCATGAAATTATATTGTATTAGACACAGATGAAGAGAGAAAAAGTTAACTTGATTATAGATGTTAAGGGGTTATCCAGAATGTTGCACAGGAAGAACAAAAATTTGTAAAAATATGAAGGAGAGAGATAGTTCAATATATCTAATAAGATTTTCTAAAGAGGAGAATAGAAAAAATAAGAGGCTACCAAAGAGATAATGGCTATCATTTTTCATAAATAAGGCAGCACATGACTCTTCAGACTCAGGAAATATAAAGAGTCTGAAACAGGAAAATTTTTAAAAAATCACACCTGGACATAGCATGTAAAATTGCTCAAAACCAAAAATAAAGAGAAAATGTTAACAGCAAGAGGGAAAAGATGACTTACAAAAGAACCAAAAATAAGCTGATAGTGGGTTAATATTTTTTAAATGCTGAGGTGATTTAAATGACAATTGGAATTCTCTACCCAGTTAATCTATCTCTGAGTTTATCATTTCAGGTTGAAATGAAGACATTTTTAACTCTTAGGAGAATTTACTACTAATAGAACCTCACTGAATAAACTTGTAAAAGATGTTCCCTAGTAAGAAAGGAATTTAACACAGAGAAGCGGATAAAATACAAGGGGGAAAAATGTTTGGTGTGGGGAGTATAAAAAAACAAATCATTATTTCCACATCTAATGTATTTTTCCTTGGGTGTGGATTATATGTAGGATTTACTATTATTAAAAACATTTCCCTAAGGGTCTAGATCAGTGGTTCTCAACCTGTGGGTCTCTACCCCTTTGGCGGTTGAATGACCCTTTCATAGGGGTCGCCTAAGACCATCCTGCATATCAGATATTTACATTACGATTCATAACAGTAGCAACATTACAGTTATGAAGTAGCAATGAAAATAATTTTATGGTTGGGTCACAACATGAGGAACTGTATTTAAAGGGTTAGAAGATTAAGAACCACTGGTCTAGATGTAATAAGAGCTGAGTTCACCTTGAGTTACAAAAAATTAAAAAATACTTTTTAGAAGTGAAACATTTTATTAATGCTTAACAAAACACAAGATTAACAGTGACTGTTTCTAAGCTGTAGTATCAGAAGTTTGAGGTTTTTTTCTTACTATTTTCAATATTTTCTAGTTTTATAAATGAACATTTATTATTTTAGTTAGATAGATATAAAATACTTCTAAAGAGACATTTAACAGTAATTCTTCTTTCATTTAGATCAAATCCTTTTTATGAACCTAAACCAACACCTCCTCCAAATAATTTGATAAATCCAATTCAAGAACTGGAAAGTGAAAAGAGAGTGAAAAGAAAAGCCCCAGCCCCACCAGTCATCTCACCAAAGATGGGAGGAGTAAACGAAAATACAGTTGTTTCTGCAGGAAAAGATCTCTCCACTTCTCCTAAGGTAGGGGTTTATTCTTAATAAAACATGTGTTAACATTTGTGCTTTTCCCCATGCAATTTAATTAAAATTAAGAAAAGTCATTGTTAGCTATTTTTGATGATTTAAAAGTAAACTCCAACTAAGTTTGTTATACTGAAACAGGATTGTCTGGGAACCTGTATGGGAAACTGTATGTTTATAGTATAACTAGAGGCCCGGTGCATGAAATTTGTGCATGGGCGGGGGGAGGGGGGGCATGTCCCTCAGCCTGGCCTGTGCCCTCTCGCAATCCAGGACCCCTTGGGGGATGGCCGCCTGCCGGCTTAGGCCCGCTTCCCGTAAGCTAGCAGTCGGACATCCCTCTCACAGTCCGGGACCCCTCGTTCCTTACCACCCGCCTGCTCGCTGCTCCTTACTGCTCGCCTCACTGCTCCTTAGCGCTTCCCGCCACCGCTGCTGCACTCGCCAGCCATGAGCCTGGCTTCTGGCTGAGTGGCGCTACCCTTTGGGGGCACACTGACCACCAGGGGCAGCTCCTGCGTTGAGCATCTGCCCCCTGGTGGCCAGTGCTCATCATAGCAACCAGTTGTTCTGGTTGTTCCGTCGTAGGGTTGTTTAGGCTTTTATTATATAAAAGGTACGCCCTCCCTTAACCCGGCTGTCTGCTGCCACCACTGCCAGCCAGAGCCTGCATCCCTTCCTCTGGCTGGCCCCGCCCCCTGGTCAAACTCCCAGACGAACTCCAGGTCGAGGGGACAATTTGCATACTACGCTTTTATTATATAGGATGGATTTGATAGTTTGGGTTAAGTTTCGTTTTTTAAAAGCTATTTTGAAATCAGAGGCATTACAAGTATGTGGTTCGTGATTTAAACAAAGGATACCTAACGCCTCTAGTTAGGTGTGAAGGACAGCTTACACTGATTCAGAAGGAGTAGAAGTCATCCTTTGAGAAATACCTTGGAAAGATTAAGGCTCAGTGCATAGAAAAGCTTTGTTGAAGAATTTCAATAGTGTCACTTTGATATATGTCAACTTATAATTTTGGCTTTATTGTCACTGTTTTTTAAGTAAATTTTAATGCATAATGACTGTGGAAAATTAACAGTATTAGCACAAAGTCTGAAGCTTTTAAATGGTTTGTTTGCAAATAGTATGATAAATTCCATATGTAAGGTAGAAATGTTGGATTTAGCAAGTGTTTTGGGGGGTAAATAGCTTGCTCATCTACTCATGGGTATTTTGGTGTTGTTTTTGTTACCATATTACATTATGTAATTCTCATGGGTAGTTAAGGGAAAAATAAGATGATCTCAAACTCAGAGAGATAAAGTAAAGGTCACAGGTCCCCCAGCCAGGATTGGCACAGGCATTTTTATTAATTGTGTGATGTCTGGGTTCTACTCCTCATGAGATGCCTAGGCTGCTGCGTTCCTCGAGGGCATCAGAGTTTTCTCTTGGATTTTTTTTTTTACTTTATTCAGTGGCTTTCATTAAATGCCAATGGCTTTCATCAAATGAAATAGCTTGTTTGCCTGTATTTTCTTTTAATTAAATCTTTACTGTTCAGATTATTACAGTTGTTCCTCTTTTTTCCCCCCATAGCTCCCCTCCACCCGGTTCCCAACCCACCCCCCCACCCCCACTGTCCTCATCCATAGGTGCACAATTTTTGTCCAGTCTCTTCCCGCATCCCCCAAGAATAGTCAGTCCACTCCCTTTCTGTGTCCCTGATTCTATTATAATCACCAGTTTATTCTGTTCATCAGATTATTTATTCACTTTATTTTTATTTTTATTTTTTTTTAATATATTTTATTGATTTTTTTACAGAGAGGAAGGGAGAGAGATAGAGAGTTAGAAACATCGATGGGAGAGAAACATCGATCAGCCGCCTCCTGCACATCTCCCACTGGGGATGTGCCCGCAGCCCAGGTACATGCCCTTGACCGGAATTGAACCTGGGACCCCTCAGTCCGCAGGCCGACGCTCTATCCACTGAGCCAAACCGGTTTCGGCATGATTTTTAGATTCACTTGTTGATAGATGTGTATTTGTTGTTCATAATTTGTATCTTTACCTTTTTCTTCTTCTTCCTCTTCTTAAAGGATACCTTTCAGCATTTCATATAATGCTGGTTTGGTGGTGATGAACTCCTTTAACTTTTCCTTATCTGTGAAGCTCTTTATCTGACCTTCAATTCTGAATGATAGCTTTGCTGGGTAAAGTAATCTTGGTTGTAGGTTCTTGCTATTCATCACTTTGAATATTTCTTGCCACTCCCTTCTGGCCCGCAAAGTTTCTGTTGAGAAATCAGCTGACAGTCGTATGGGTATACTCCCTTGTAGGTAACTGACTGTCTTTCTCTTGATGCTTTTAAGATTCTCTCTTTGTCTTTTGCTCTTGGCATTTTAATTATGATGTGTCTTTGTGTGATCCTCTTTGGATTCCTTTTGTTTGGGGTTCTCTTTGCTTCCTGGACTTGTAAGTCTATTTCTTTCAGCAAGTAGGGGAACTTTTCTGTCATTATTTCTTCAAATAGGTTTTCAATATCTTGCTCTCTCTCTTCTTCTGGCACCCCTATAATTCGGATGTTGGTACACTTGACGTTGTCCCAGAGGCTCCTTACACTATCTTCGTATTTTTGGATTCTTTTTTCATTTTGCTTATCCGGTTGGGTGTTTTGCTTCTTCGTATTTCAAATCTTTGACTTGATTCTTGCGATCCTCTAGTCTGCTGTTGGAACTCTGCATAATATCCTTTATTTCAGTCAGTGTATGCTTAATTTCTAGTTGGTCCTTTTTCATAACCTCGAGGGTCTCACTAGATTTCTTGAGGGTCTCACTAAATTTATCGGCGGTCTCACCAGACTTTTTGAGGGTCTTACGAAATTTATCGGTGGTTTCTAGAAAGTTCTTGAAAAACCTTAAAAGTGTGGTTTTGAACTCTATATCCAGTAGTTTGCTTTCCTCCATTTCTGTCATTTGTGTTCTGTTTCTTTGTCTCCTCAATTTTTTATGCTTCCCTGTGTTGATAGAGTGGCTTTCTGTGCTAGGTGTTCTATAGGTCCCAGTGGCTCAGCCTCCCCAATTACCTGAGGTGGACACTCTTGGTGCACCCCCTTTGTGGGCTTTGTGCACAGTCTTGTTGTAGTTAAGCCTTGATTGTTGTAGGTATCACTGGGAGGAATTGACCTCTAGGCCAATTGGCTGTGAGAATCAGCTGTGTCTACGGTGGGAGAACTTCTGTGCTGAAGACACCCTTATGAGGCAAGACTTGCTTCAATGGGGCTTTGGTGCTCACTGAGTCTGCCCCCTGAGTGTGTCCCTTATGGATCTGAGGAGTTGTAATCTGGCTCTTGGATCTCTAAGGAGATGCTAATTTAGCCTCTGCCTGGGGCTACCCAGCAGGAGCTAGGAAGAGATCTGCAGATTCCCCTTCCTTGTTTGGGGTTTAGAGGTGCCCCAATGAGGCCCAGCTGTGAAGTAATGCAAGCTGCTGTGGGGCCTTGGGCCTTCTCTTGGAAGTTCTGGGTCTCTCTGACCCAGCTGCAGTTTGTTAGGTAATTTTCAGATTGCAAAGGGCCAGGGCATTCATATGCAAAAGCCTCTGCCACAGCTTGGGTGGGGCGGGGTCTCAGGGGATCAACAGGGCAGAGCAAGCAGCTATGGCTGATCGTCAGCCCTGCCCTAAGAGGCCCCAGGTCTCAGTGTCCCAGTAATTGCTGCAAGCACCTCTGAGAGGAAGCTGCCCTCGAGTTCCGAGTTTTGCCCGCTGTCAGACAGTCCAGTTTCTCCCCGTATAAGTCTGGGTCCCCAGAGACTTCCCGGAACTGGAGTTCAGAGCAGTCGGGGGCTTGAGACTCCCTCCCGATTCAAAAAAGATAGCCGCGTCCTCAGTTGCCAGCCTTGCCGCGTGCGCCTCCTTACCTCTGGCACTTTACTTCTGCACCTCCTCTGAGTCTCACTGCTTTTCTCTTCCTTCTAGTTGTAGAATTTCCACTCAGCCAGCCTTCCTGTGGTTCTGGATGATGTCCATTTTTTCTTTTAGTTGTATTTTTGAAGTTGTTGTGGGAGGCAGCAATTTCTGGTGTTTACCTTAGGGACATTGAGTTCACTGAGGTCTTTACTGTGCTATTCCAAAAGTCAGTCTCTAGATGTTTGTTTTTATATCAGATATATATAAAAACAAACATATATAAAATTTTTTTTTTTTTACCCTATAACTTTAAGGGGAGAAACTAGAACTAAATTGTGTCCTACAGTTTTCTAGGGCAGTGGTCGGCAAACTCCTTAGTCAACAGAGCCAAATATCAACAGTACAACGATAGAAATTTCTTTTGAGAGTCAAATTTTTTAAACAAACTATATAGGTAGGTACATTGTTATTAACTTAATTAGGGTACTCCTAAAGCTTAGGAAGAGCCACACTCAAGGGGCCAAAGAGCCGCATGTGGCTCATGAGCCGCAGTTTGCCAACCACGGGTCTAGGGCAAGGGGTAGGTGTGGGGGACTCTACGTGAAAGTAGCAAGTGGTGGAAGCGTAAAGCAAAGGAGATGGCCAAGTTCTGTACCCATGGTGGGGGAAGAAGAAGACCATAATAGGCATGCTAGTCAGAATCAAGAGCTAGTTAGGTCCTTTATCCAGTCGAATCATCAAGAGTACCTAAACCTATTACCCTGAATCTACTTCATGACCTACTTCCTGTCCAATCTTTTTTTGGAGTCCAATCAAGAGTTTGAAGCTGATGCATAGCCCATGGATATGGGCAATAGGGTGGTGAAGACTTGGTGAGGGGGAGGTGGATAGGGGCTCGGAAGAGGGAGGTAAAAGGGGGGAGAAGTGGAAGACATCTGTAATACTATCAACAATAAAATATATATATTAAAAAAAAGATACAAAACAGCCCTAGCTGGTTTGTCTCTGTGGATAAAGTGTCAGGCTGCGGACCAAAGGGTTCTGGGTTTAATTTCAGTCAAGGGCAGGTACCTTGGCTGCAGGCTTCTCCTCAGCCAGCGCCC